ATGTATGTATGTATGTATGTATGTATGTATGTGTGTGTATATGCATAAGACGCAGCAAAGTTTTGAAGAGGCAAATTAAAAAACAAGGTTTGGGACTTTGCAAACCTCCCAGAACCTCCCAAAAACCTCCCAAATAGGGCTATTTAAAAAGAAGGGCATGAATAGCCCTTAGGAGGCTTGTAGAGTGTTCCTGGAGGGCTGGAAGAGGGAGGCAAAAATGAGCAAAAAATGGCCCATTTTTCACAAAAGGGGCCCATTTTTTGTTTTAAAAAAGAGCATTATGAAGCTTATAGAATGCTCTTGGGGGAGGGGGAAATTGAGCAACAAATGGGCTGTTTTTTGCTCATTTCTGCCCTCCCCAGCCCCCAGGAGCTCTCTGAAAGCCTCCTAAAGGCTATGCACGGCCATTTTGATGAAGGGGCGGAGTTTCAGGAGGCACAAAATGCTGTATTCAGTAATGGAATATGATTTTATGTTTCTGTTTTGTTTTGTCTGTTTATGTTTAAAAATAAAAAACTCTTTTTAAAAAAAATGCTGTATTCAGTGTATAAGATGCACCCAGATTTTCAGCCTATTTTTTGAGGAAAAAGGGTGCATCTTATACTCTGAAAAATACAGGATCTCTGTCTCTCTCTCTCTGTCTCTGTCTCTGTCTCTGTCTCTGTCTCTCTCACTCCCAGTTGAAAATTCAATTAAGAAAATCCAATCTTTCAACTTTCCGACAAATTAATGCAAACTTTATTATTTGATTTGGGAGCAATTTAGGGAAATCTTGGATTGCACAATAGAATATTGTTCTTTTTTCTGTTTAAAATATTATTTAAAATAATAATATTTATAATAGAAGAAGATAAACAAAATGCTTCATCTTTGATGGAAAGGGTAAATAATAGTGGTCATGGTTTCTTCAACATTTCGGGGCTGGGGTTTAGATGAGGGAACTGTCTCAGGAATACCCTTGCAAACTATTTGCCATGATGGTGGTGGGGAATCACAGCCCTTTTAGTGGGAGGTGAACTACTGATGTTGCCCCTCTGCCCACACAGTTCTTCCCTTTTCTCTCTTTTTTTCTCCACTCAGTAGGCAGCCTTTCAAACCAAGCGTGAAGCTGCTGCTGCTGCTATGCTGCATTTCCTTATGTAAGAATTTCCCCAGGAATTTGATGGAAATATAACTGCTTGGAGCCACTGCTTCCTTTTGCAGCAGGAAATGTCTTCCTGTTTGCACATTGATTCCTTGAAGAGAAGCTAAAATAAATCAAAACGTCAGAGGTGGAAGATGCTCAGGTCTACGGGAAGCTTTGTATCTTCACACCTGCTTTTTTCCCCAGGCACTGGCGTTGTGTCATAACGCACCTCAGAGATTAGGGGAGTGTATGTGTGCAGCTGGTGGTGGTTTCTAAATGGGATTCTCTTCTCACTTTTATTTTTTTCCCCAGGCAGAGGATATGCTTCACACCTCGCTGAGAAAAGTTCAAGTTTTTTTCAAGAAGAATATCTCTGCAGCCCTCTTCCTGATTCCCTTCTGCACACAAATCTGCAGCTGCCATTTCTGAACACCCTTGCTTCAGGTACTCCTCCTCAATTTTAAAGAAGAGTCAGTGAAGGAGGAGGCAGCAGAATCAGAGGTGGCATTCAGCAGGTTCTGACCAGTTCTGGAGAACCAGTAGCGGAAATTTTGAGTAGTTCAGAGAACCAGTAAATACCACCTCTGGCTGGCCCCACCCGCATCTATTCTCTGCCTCCCGAGTCCNTCTTTGTTGCTCTTCTCGGCACTCTTTTTAGAGTCCCCACATCTTTTTTACATTGTGGCGACCAAAACTGGTTGCAGCATTCCAAGTGTGGCCTTACCATCATGATCTTGATTCTATCCCTCTGTTTATGCAACCTAGACCTGTGTTGAACTTAGAATAGAATAGAACTGGAAGGGACTTGGAGATCTTCTAGACCAGCCTCCTGATCAATACCATTTCCGACAGGTATTCTTCTTAAAAACCTCCAGTGATGAAGTACCCACGATTTCAGGAGTCAAGCTGTTCCACTGGTTAATTGCTGTAACTGTCAAGAAATTTTTCCTTAATTCAAGGTTGCTTCTCTCTTTGATTGGTTTCCATCCATTGTTTCTTGTCTTGCCTTCTGGTGCTTTGGAGAATTTGATCCCCTCTTCTTTGTGGCAGCCCCTCAAATATTGCCATGATGGACAGAAACAGCAGAACTCAAGCCTGATGCCTTTGGCTCTTTCTACAGGGGTCGTAGTGAATTTTAATTTGGGATCCCACATAGGCAGTGGAGAGGGTGCTGGCCTGGACCCATTCATCAGTCCATCTCTCATCTATTCCTAGACAGGAACTATAAAAACTTTCCTGTCTGGGTGAAGATGCTGCATAAGCAACAGTGGTTTCTTGGCCCCAGACACTTTTCTTCCGGCCAGCTTCATATATTATGAATGTGGCTTATTTTGTTTTGGACTAGTCTGGTGAGATTGTGATCGCACTGCACATTAAGACAGTTGCATCTTTTGTGCAATGCCATTACAACACACAGACCTTGCCCTCAGTGGATCCTCTTATTTCCTTCATATTTATATCATGTTAAATCTCCATGGCGTGTTTGAAGAGGCTGCCTCCCAAATACTTCCCCATTCAATGGAGATTCTCCGTCATCCAGGTGATGGTTGTCCCAAAGGTGCTTTTTCAAATGGCAGCTGGACTTTGTTTTTTCCTTGAAGACGTTGAAGAAGGATCCACACCCATTTGCACTACACAGGTGACCCTGAGGGGACAGATAAACCTCCTGTAAGGATAGCCTCTCCTCCTAACTTAAGAAAGTGAAGACTCTTGAAACAAAGTATTTCAAAAGGAANCACACACACACACACACAAAGACTGTACGACTTTTGTAGACATTTTATCCCTGGACAGGTTGGACATTGACTTGCATATGGGTTGACATTTTTGGGTGGGCATTTTTGGTGGAAGATCCTGAGCAGAGATTCTGTGTGTGTGTGTGTGTGTGTGTGTGTGTGTGTGTGTGCGCGCGCTCTTGTGGGTATGTGCGTGTGTGTGTAGATTGTAGTTTCTTAATAAGGCTAGTGATGGGAAGTATCTGAGAAAAAAAACCAGCTTGGCAAAAAAGATGCCACGAGATGCTGATTTCTTTCTGTACCAAATGTTTTCATTGCTCTTAGTGTGGCCATATGTAGTTTTTAAACCTTTCTGGCTTTTTAAAGTTGAATCACTGCTGTTGTGATTCAAGGAGCTTCAGAGGTGGGTTCCTACCGTTTCGGCCCATTTTGGCAGAATAGGTATTAAGTCAGTCGGACATGTGACCGTACCGGTTCAATTTTGGGCACTGCCATCTTTATTTTCTGTTCTGCACATGCACAGAACACTCTTCATTAAAAAAAATGTAATTTCCCCCCTTTTTTAATGGTGTGCGCATGACAGTCCCAGAGAATTCCCAGAAATGGGCCATTTTTCACAAAAACAGAGGTATTTTTTGCCTTCCCACAGCCTCCAGAAGCACTCTGCAAGCTTCAGCAGGGCTGGGGGAAGGCAAAAACATCTCTGTTTTTGCCAAAAACAGCCCATTTTCCGCCCATTATTTGCAAAAACAGGGTCCTTTTTGTCTTCCCCCAGCCCTGAAGTCTGCAGAGTGTTCCTGGGGGCCGAGGAGGATAAAAACTTTTTTTTCTTATTGGGTAATTTGCAGGCGCTACCTTAGCTCCTCCCCCATTCCCTGTCAAAACTTTTCACCTCTGTTTCGGTGGGCATGGCTTGGTGAGGGGCAAATGTGACTGAGTGTGCGTGAGTGATGTCAAGTTGGCCACGCCGCTCTGTCACATGCCCTCATCTAGGCATGCCCACCAAACTGGTAGTAATTTTTTTTTGAAACCCACCCCTGAGGAGCTTGTTGTCTTTCGTTAGTCAAGTGAAGGAGAGAGACTGATGACAGCTAATCTTCCTTAGCCTTCTCTACTGTACAATACAAAATGCCATTTCCAACTGTTACGGGCTGAGCTGAACTTTCCAACAGTTGTCCTCCCATCAGTATCTCTCTGAAACTTTTGCCATCATCAGAAGCAGCCCTCTAGAAGTCAGGAATGGGGAGTTTTGCTATGGTGGTGCGTGATACAATCTCTTGTGTACTGGGAGGATTCGGTTTCTTTCAGTTCAACCTTGGCACTAAAACTGATGTTAAGATGTTCTAGGTCGGAGGGTGTCAAACTCAAGGCCTGCAGGCTGGATCCAGCCTGTGGGGTACTTAGATCTCGCCCGCAGGGTTGCCCTGGAAACAGCGAAGAACCAGGCCTCAGTGCCTTTGCCAGTGAAAACCAAGAGGGCCACGTGCGGCCCTCCCAGACTCCGTTTTTGTGTCGGCCTCAGGCAGCCATCTGACAGTGGAAACAGAGCTCCATTTTCACTGGCAGAGGGCTGCAGGAGCCATGGTGGCTGAAAATGGAGCCTGGGAGCCTTTTTTTGCTGGCAGAGGACTTGGGCTACCACAAGTGCCCCCCTGACATGAGTGACATCAACCTGGCCATGCCTCCCTGGCAGTGGTGAAATTCAAATTGTTTTACTGCTGGTTTTGTGGGCGTGGCTTGGTGGGCATGGTGTAGCTTGGTGGGCATGGCCTGATGGGTGTGGCAGGGGAAGGATACTGCAAAATCTCTATTCCCACCTCACTCTGTGACCAACCAGAGGTGGCATTTGCCGGTTCTCCGAACTACTCAAAATTTCTCCAGAACCTGTCAGAACCTGCTAGATTTCATCCCTGCTCCATGGCCGCCACGCCCAGCCCTGATGCGGCCCTCAATGAAATTGAGTTTGACACACTTGTTCTAGTCAGATGGATCAAAGAGCTCTTTCTAAAGCACAGCATTCTGAGGGGAAAAACTGTAGAAACCCCCCCCCCCCCCGAATATAGTGCTGAGAGAAGCATATACTTTCTTCAAAGTCTCAGGCTTCATGTCAAAAAAAAAAAATGACACCCATATGTCCACGAAGAGATATTTGCAAGTGTGTAGGCAAGGCGAACCGAAATATCTTAAGTTAGATAGAGGAGGGGAAAAAACAAGCAATTCCCATTGCTGAATGCCAACGTCATGGATGTTCTGCATCCCTCAGATTTTTTTGATTGATGGGATGAATAATGCGGACAGCTTCAAAAAAAGACCTGAGCAAATTTGGGGAAACAATCTTCTACCTAATGTCTGCAAAGGTTCTGAGGAGCTTGGTGAGGAACAAAGAGAGCCCTTGCGTTGTATGCAAGAATGCACTGACAGGGTCCCACACATCCCATCACCATGTTGTCATCTTCATATTTGTACAGGTAGTCCTCGACTTCCGACTGCAATTGAGCCCAAAATTTCTGCTGCTAAGCAAGATGGTTGTTAAGTGAGTTTTGCCCCATTTTGCAATTTTTCTTGCCGCGGTTGTTAAGGGATCACCACAGTTGTTAAATGAGTAACGCCATTGTTCAGTGAATCGCTTCCGCATTGACCCTACATGTCAGAAGGTCACAAAAGGTGATCACATGACCCAAGGACACTGTAACCATCATAAATATGAGTCAGTTGCCAAGTGCCTGAATTTTGATCATGTGACTATAGGGGCGCTGCAATGTTTGGGTGAAAAACAGTCGTAAGTCACTTTTTTCAGTGCCGTTAGAGCTTTGAACAGTCACTAAACCAATTTTTGTAAGTGTAGGACTTCCTGCCCTAAGCAGCAGAAGATGAATTTTTGACTTCTCTCTTCTTTCTTTTCCTCCCCCTCCCCATTTCATTTCACCCCCTCTCCTAAAATAGATGGTCAACCTCAGTCTGGCTCCCAATTCCAACCCTATAGTTTTATTTTGCTCCTTCTTCTTTCAACAGGAGATGGGAAATGCAGGGTCTTGGCTCTCAGAGTGCCAGAAGAAAACAACGACATCAGCGACTGAATATGCTGAGAATGTCACACTCAGATACCAGGAAACAGCTCTCAAGTTTCAACCCAGGTATTCCTTTTGGCGTAAATGAGTCCGGGTGGCTTCTGGAGACAAGAAACAGGGCCAGTTTCCAGAATTCTTTCCAATGTCATATTTCTGTGTGAAAACCTACCAAGAACATCATCTCATCTGGTGCCCAGGTAAAACTGAGAAAACAGGAAAGGGTGGGGGAGATAGATAGATAGATAGATAGATAGATAGATAGATAGATAGATAGATAGATAGATAGATAGATAGATAGATAGATAGATAGATAGATAGNGTATAGTCTGAAATGTAACACTACAAACAGTGTATATTGTCTGTACTGTTTGCTGTTTGTTGCAAAGAGGCAAATTGCTGGGAGGCAGAAGCAGATTCCCCCCCCCTGTTTTCCTCCCCAAAAACTAGGTGCGTCTTATACTTTGTAGCGTCTTATACACCGAAAAATATGGTATGTTACTGAGCTGTGCCCTCCCAACAGATGCCTGTGATCCTGTCAGTCTCTCTATGAACATCCCAAAGTGCCTATCTGGGCACCTGCTGGAAACATAGTTCTGGCACCACAGAATTTGGGCAATGGCTCCATCTTGGTGGATGTGATGGCCTTAGTGAAAGTCAGTTGGGAGCTGCAGGGTTAAACATGACACTGGCTGGCTCCAAAATGCATTTTTGCTTGAAGAAATATGAGTGAACGTTGCCTGGTAGAACATCATGCTTTTATGTGGTAAATAATTGATGATCGCGGAGACTGTTTATTGGTCTTCAGGGCATTGCTGAGGTGATGGATCGTTCCTTCCCATACAGCCTTTACATAATTTGGTGTGTATGTCTCATTCATGCAGATAATATATGGATCAGAAGTGGGCAGTTATTTTGCCCCTCCTCTCCTCCCCTTCCACTTCCACCTTTCTCTTGCAGAGGATACAATTTCTCTTAAAGTTAGAGCTGAATTATATTCGACTGGAGGTAGACACACTGCATGGCTTGGAGTCTGTGACAGAAGACTGCCAGCTGAAATTTTTGCTGAAGGTATGGGCAACATTTGAAGACTGCAGAAGAAGACCTGTGACATTATAGCTCTAAAGTAGGAGTCTCCAACCTTGGCAACTTCTAGCCTGGCGGACTTCAACTCCCAGAATTCCCCATCCAGTTTGCTGGCTGGGGAATTCTGGGAGTTGAAATCCACCAGGCTTGAAGTTGCCAAGATTGGAGACCCCTGCTATAAAGTGCCTCCATCTTTCACCGAATCATCCAACCCACCTCCTCTCCAAACTGCAACCTTGAAATTCAGTGGTTTTATTGCTGAACCGTGGGTAGAACGATCTGGATAGGGCCACTGCCTCTGGTCTGCAAGCTGGCCATTCAGTTCTACCACAGATCTTGTATTACATTTTCTCTTGACCTCATTTCATTAAAACTTGCCACCTACAATTTGAAAGGGATTTGCGGTAGCTAGATACAGTAAATGCAACCGTTATTTTACACACTCTGCAGGGAAAACAATCTTTGCTGGTAAGCATACCCTCAGCCAGAAACAATATCCTTTCCCGAATGAATAGAATATAGAATAGAATAGAATAGAATAGTAGGGTTGGAAGGGACCTTGGAGATCTTCTAGTCCATCCTCCTGTTAGGCAGGAAACTACACCATTTCAGACAAATGATTATTCAACATCTTCTTAAAAACTTCCAGTGTTGGAGCATTCACAACTTCTAGAGGCAGGTTGTTCCACTGATTAATTATTCTAACTGTCAGGAAATTTCTCCTTAGTTCTAAGTTGCTTCTCTCCTTCATTAAATTTCACCCATTGCTTCTTGTCCTGCCCTCAACTGCTTTGGAGAATAGCTTGACTCCCTCTTCTTTGTGGCAGCCCATGAAATATTGGAAGGCTGCTATCATGTGTCCCCTAGTCCNCATCTATTCAGCAATTCCCCAACACAAAATGGATTGAAATCTTGTTCAAAGGGAGATGAACCTGACAAATGGGGTCAGGAATGGGATGACATTCCCAAGGCATGGAGCTATGGAGCCTTGGTGGCAGAGTGGTTAGAATGCAGTATTGCAGACTATCTCCGCCTATAGCTTGGAGTTCGATCCTGACTGGCTCAAGGTTGACTCAGCCTTCCATCCTTCTGAGGTGGGTAAAACGAGGACCCAGATTGTTGAGGGCAATATGCTGACTCTGTAAACTGCTCAAAGAAGGTTGTAAAGCATCATGAGGAAGTTGATAAAACAAAGTGCTATAGTGCTGTTGGAAGGATGAGCTCATTCAGGCTGAGCGCCAGGCCTGGAGAGTGAAATCATTCTGTTTTCCAAAACCATATATATACAACAGCAAACCCTGGGGAATTTTTTTTATCTGGCAAACTTGAATCTGTGGGCTGTAGTAGTTAATTCTTGAAGTCTGGGATTAAGGGGTGGATTTCTTACTGTATATGTAAAAATGATGGTATATAAAGACATTCTATTGTGGTTTGGTGATTTTGATGGGAAGATCTGCTTAGGAGAAAGGAAAAGGGAAATTCGTATTTTTCAGATAAGCTTGGTGATTGATGTGTTGCTTTGAGCACTACCATTTTGCTCCCTGTTTTACTGGCTTAAAATTCTTTAGAGTGCTTTTTAAGATGTGCTTTTATTGATTTTTTTCTCCCCCAGAGATGAAAACAAGGAAAACTACCCAGACAAATCTGTAGTCCTAGAGGAAAGTCAGGCAGTGTTTCAAGACACGCTGACCCCCTGCGATGGCACTCTAAGAGTGGGCATGGGGAACTTAAAATCCAGAAAGCCCACATCCATTCCAAAAACAGAAAATGGGAAAACCCGTGAAGAAAATCAGGTAATTTGCTTGCAGGTCTTTGCTGCAATTTTATCAGTAATAAAAGAAAAGCCTCTGGATTTTATTTTTTATTTCGAAGATTGGCTGGTGTCCTCTGGCATGGGGGCGGAGAGTGGGCATTGTACAATAAATGCAGCTGAAAAGGTTGAAAAAAGACAATGTAATCTTCAAATATTCCAGATCAATTGNCGGCATATAAATAAAACGAAACCTAAACCTAAACACATGTTCCAGTTTGGGCAGTTGGTTCTGAAAAGGTTTGCCATCACTGATATAGGGTCCCTTGCTTGGACAGGGGGTTGGACTAGAAGACCTCCAAGGTTCCTTCCAATTCTGTTGGAATGTTCTGTTCTATTGTTCTATACAGAATGCAGTGGAGTATTGGCGGCATATGATAATCCTGTATATATTGCATTGGACAAGGGTTGGGCATTTAAGTCCACTTCTTGTCAATGATATTATAAAATCTCAACATAGTCAGCATAGGGCAGGGACAGCCATGCCTGCTGCTGCAGCATTGGCTTCCTGTTTATGTGTCACTACATCTGGATGGCTGATTGTGCAGTTGGCATGATGAGAATCGCTTCCTACTCAGTGATCGAGTTACTCATTTGATAAACCTTCCCATGCGATAGGGCTGAGGAGCAGATGGGGAGAACGTATTGGGAATGTCTTCAAGGACAGTGGACAGTTTGCTCTGGTTACTGGTGACCTATTTTACTCTCCAGAGTCACGCAGCTATGGTAAATGAGATTCTGCCTCCTGAGGCTTCTTCCTGTCCAAGTGTGCCAGAGTATTTGCAAGCTTGAATTGTAGTAACCTTTCCAATATTCCTTTGCTGCCAACCCAAATATTTAGGAATAGTTTGGGCATGGGGTTAGCTGGATGTGAGATTGTGAGAATCCAGGCAGTTGCTCTATAAGGTCAGGAAGTAAAGGTTGAAGACACTTGTTTTTTAAAAGAGAAAATCATGATTCCAGTAAGCTGAGGGATTCATCACAGTATCACCGCTGCTCTGTGTCTATTGAACACGCGTCTAGCTCATCACAATTTCTGTATTGCAAGAACCCTCGTTGCGCAGTGGTTAGAATGCAGCATTGCAGGCTAACTCTGCCCACGGCAAGGAGTTCAATTCTGACTAGCTGATTCATCCTTCCAAGGTCAGTAAAATGAGGACCCAGATTGTTGGGGGAAATATGCTGACTCTGTAAATCACTTAGAGAGGGCTGTAAATCACTGTAAAGTGGTATATGTGTCTAAGTGCTATTGCAAAGTGGCATCTAATACAAGAACTGAGACAGAGAGGATGCAGCCACATAAATTAACAGGAATTATATTAAATTTCAAGGATAAATAAAGAAGAGTGACTGAGTGTATAATATGTTGGGTGGAGAGAGAGAGATAAACAAAATTCTGACTGCATCCTTTTTATTAAGTGATTTTAGAGAAAGAACAACAGTCAAGTTCTTACATAAGATGATTTTAAAAATGAGTAATAATTATTGTTTACATTGTAAAACAGCCGGCTTAATTATTACAGAAGGCTGGATGACATCGTCCACTGCAGCCGGGTGGACTACAGCTCTCAAAACCTCTACAGCTGGACCACAACTGGTTGTGAACCAGGAGATTTGAGGAAGCTGGAGACAGCTGGGTTGAAGAAGGTTGAGATGAGCACCATTCACATATTCAGGGCTAAGACATGGAGTTTTGCCTATGATTTATTGAATAAAAAGCCCATTATTGGTGAAGTGTATGCAAGACTATCTATTTTGGTTTGGGTCAAGCTGAGTTTACACAACTCAGTTTGACCCAAACCAAACATAAACAACTTGGTTTGTTTATGCAAACCACTATAGATGATGGCTTGGTAGGGACTAAGTTCAATAGACCAAACTTCCCCAGGAATCATTTAAGGCATTTCTGGAGTTAGTGGGGGTAAGGAGGTAGATGACTTCCAAGTGGCAGCAAAGAAATACATTTCTAACCCTTTGTTACCATCTAGTTGTCCTGTTGGGTTATTGACATGGAGTATAGAGCAAGAACAATAGCACTTAGACATATACCATTTCATAGTGTTTTACAGCCCTCTCTATGCAGTTTACAGAGTCAGCATCTTGCCCCCAGCAACTTTGATCATCATTTTACCGACCTCAAAAAGATAGAAAGCTGAGTCAACCTTGAGCTGTTAAGGATTGAACTTCTGGTAGTGAGCAGTGAGTTAGCCTGCAACACTGCATTCTAACCACTAAGCCACCACAGCTCTAGAGGGTTGAGAAAGGACAGATCTATGCAGAGATACGTCCTCCCGAGCAGCTGCTAGCTCCTGGATGTTTTGTTACCAAATTAGGTGACATCTTTGACCCCATTGAAGATGTTACCTAGTTTGGCAACGAAATGTTTGGGAGCTCAGAAGACAAACCTCTGCCTAAATCTACCACTTGAGCTACGAATATTCTCTACAATTTCTAAAAGGGGAAATCTGTTACCAAAACAATAAGGAGGAAAGCATTCTGAAGTTCAAGTAAGGAAGGAAGATGTGAAAAGAATGTGAAAATATCTTAAACTCCTCCATTATTCCGATTACAAAGAAGGAAGAAGTAAACCATAATAAGACTTGCAAGATTCTGTTAATCAAGCCAATTTTAATAAAGTTTTAGTCTTTATATTAAGTGGCCTGGTTGTGAAGACGCTTTCCTCTCATTCAAAAGATTGAGAGTTCAGTCCTAGGCAGATATTTCTCTCTTAGGACACAAAGAAAAAAAATATAAATTGTGAAATCTGCATGGCATCAGGAAAGGCATCCGGCCAGTAAAAGCCCAGCCCTATCCAGTTGCCCTGACTCTATCCTGAATTAATAGCAATAGCACTTAGACTTATATACTGCTTCATAGTGCTTTTACAGCCCTCTCTAAGCAGTTTACAGAATCAGCATATTTGCCCCCAACAATCTGGATCCTCATTTTACCCACCTTGGAAGGATGGAAGCCTGAGCTAACCTTGAGCCTGGTGAGATTTGAACTGCCGAACTGCAGCTAGAAGTCAACTGAAGTAGCCTGCAGTACTGTACTCTAACCACAGTGCCACCACGGCTCTTAAGAGATTATAGGGTCATAAAAAGGGACTAGCAATAGTCTTAATATGAAATACATTTCTTTGGGCTGATCTACATTTTGGGCCCAACAATATCACAACCCTTTTTTTTTTCTAAATATATCTGGAATTGTGAACTCTTTTTAATTATTTTTTTATTTTTTGAATAGACACAAACAAACAAGACACAACAAACACCATAAAAACATATTCCATTACAAAAT